TACCATCTACTCATCCAGACTTAGCTATGAATTACAGCAATACTGGTGTGATACAGCAATCAATGGGTAATTATGCCGTGGCATTGTCATATTCTGAGAAAGCTCTTCAAATTATGGAGAAATCTCTTCCACCTACTCATCCGAGTTTAGCTTTGAATTACAACACTATTGGTTTGATACAGCAATCAATGGGTAATTATGCCGTGGCACTGTCATATTATGAGAAAGGACTTGAAATCATGAAGAAATCTGTTCCACCTACTCATCCAGACTTGGCTTCGAATTACAACAATATTGCTAGAGTGCATCAATCAATGGGTAATTATGTCATGGCATTGTCATATCTGGAGGAATCACTTGAAATCATGGTGAAATCTCTTCCATCCAATCATCCAAATTATGCAGCCTATTACATATGTGTTGGTGAGACGCATCGATCGTTAGGTAACTATACAACAGCACTTTCATATTTTCAAAAGGCACTTTTAATTCAACAAAAATCTCTTCCGCACGATCATCCTGATGTGGCTAAGACCCTTACATTTATCAGTATAGTTCAGCAATTGACAGGCAACGATGCGCTATGGTATTCCAGTGCTGGGAAAGCCTTAGAAATTCAACAGAAATATATTGCAGACAATCACGAAATACTCACTAGTTCTTCTTATAATACTGAAGCTATGCTGGAATGTACTAAATATGGGATCGAAGGAATATCACAGATGAAGAGTGCTTCAGAGTTAAGTCAGAAACTACTATCCACCGATTATTCAACAACAGTTTCTGTCGACACTAGCATAGACGAAGCTGAAAATTTGATAAAAACATGCTCAGATGGACTTTCGAACTTGGAAAATATGCTTCAAATAGCACAAAACTCATCGTCGATGAATCAAAATTAGTTGTATGGAAATATCATTAGTAGCACTGACCAAAATGAACTGAGTCAAAATATGTTAAGTGCGCTGTCATACATGAAAAAGGCTATTAAAACCGACCAGAACTTATTTTCATGTGACCAGTCAGTGACGACGCATTCCAACCAAAACAATAGTGATACAATATTTTCTACGGAGGATTATATAATGTCATTGTCATATTATGCTAAAGCGATGCAAATCGTGCAGAGGAGTCTTCCACTAAATGATCCATTTTTGGCTACTAATTACAACAATCTTGGTAATCAACTCTGTGAAATAGAAGAATATCATGAAGCATTGTTATACTTCGAAAAAGCGCTAGAAATAATACATAGATCTTTTTCTAACAATCATTCGCTATTAGCCAAAACATATAGCAACATGGCTAACGCATTGGCTGGCATTGAGCGATATGAGGAAGCTGTCGATTATGCTAAACGTGCTGTTAAAACAGCTCGTCGCTCCGAAATAAATAATAGTGAAGCAGAAGAATATGAAAACCAGCTTGAACTACTTAAACAAATGATGGAATAAAGATAAAAATCAACTTTTAATCTTAAGAGTGGATGTGAGCTATGAATGTGAGTGTAAGCGAAAGTTTTTCTTATTTCTCACTCTCAAGATGGACGGAGAATAAGTTAAATACTCCTGCGGATGTTGGTGTGGGTGTGTGATCTTTTATTGCCTACGCTCACCCGCCCTCAAGATGTGTTCAGTATATTTACTTCTTTATTTCAAACCTAAATCCTTCATATAGTTGGTTTTTAAATTCAAGTATCAATATAATAAAGTATCCTTTTATGTGCAGAACTTGCTCGGGTGTTTGATTTGTACGATATTTTTAGATATTTGTTAATGATCTATTTTCATAATTTCAAGAAAATGGTCAATTTCATCTTTGAGAATTGACATTATTATTATTGATCTGCATCAGATTACAAACTGAAATATAATAAAATTTTAGAAATACATACGATTCCCAAAAAAAATAAGAGTTGTACCTATACTTAATTAGCTGCTTAGAAACCTGCTTTTGCAACATAAATAAGATGAATAAGTCTCTTCATGAATATCTCTGTGTCATCTGCTGAATATAACCGATCGTTAACGTAGAATTAGAGATCATATGGATAATTCAAGGTCTTGAGATTTAGTCGCTTAATAAATGTTAATACTTTACTTATAGTTCAAATACGACGAACATAAATAAAAGAATATATATATTTACATTAAAAGAGAACACTACTCATTGTTGGATTATTAAATAAATATTAAATAAAAAATCAATATGATAAGACTGTGAAAAACACTATCGATAAAAGTAAGTCCTATTTTCAATATTGATATCATTATATAATAATATTTAAAAAAATAGCGCCATCTGTTAGTCATTCATGAGTGGCTTTATCGAAAACATGAACGAATCGATTGGCATCAATCAAAGAAAGAAAGAATCAAAACAAACAGACAGACATGCATCTATCATCATCCTTATTGTAGTATTTCACATAGAACATATAGTAACCTTGAATACAATAGCTAATCACTCTCTCTTAAAATCTTATATAACAAACTATGAATGTCTAATCTGTTTAATTTAGATATTATTAAAAAAATTCACTAAATATGTCGGATCAAGAAAAAGTAATTCTAACTTTAGTTGAACTTCTTAAAAAAAATTCTCTAAACATAACATATCCAGATAATATTGAAAATAATGTAAGCTATTTATTCTTTTTTCTATTAATCAATTTATTAATGAAATTATTTAGAATAATGATGGTCATGAAGATGATGAATGTATAAAAAAATTAACTAAAAATCGTTATAAATTAATTTACAGTATGTGTCAAGCTACAAAAGTAATGGATTATCTTGAGTCTGTCGGTGTTATACCCCGTTCTGTTTGTTCACGTATTCTTCATGTAAGTCAATGTTATATAATAAAATATTTCTTACTCTATTTTGAAAATATTATAGCAATATCCAGTACCGGAAGATCGTAAACGTGAATTAATTAATTTCTTACTTAGTCGTGGTAAAAATGCGTTCAGACCTTTGATCGAAGCACTTTATCTCGCTGGTAAGTTCTCATCAATCAATTCAGTAAGAACAGATCATCGACTATGGAAATAAGAGGATTTTGATGCATATTAGTTAATCTAATAAATATAAATATTGTTATTCTAGGTAATCAACATCTTGTTCAATTACTTGATGAAAACTTTCTTCTAAGTAATATTCGTCAACGACTCGATGCTGAATATCATTTTCCAACTGTTATCGGAGGACAATCAACAATACCAACAAGTATCGAAGATGAACAATTGCATAATATGAATACGAATGTTGAATCATTTGATAATAAAATTTCCATTGATGATTTAAGTGATATCGAAATAACAAAATTTGAAGATGAAGTACCAATGGGTTTTGAAGTACAATTATTAACAGCTGATTTAATTGAACAATATCCTCAATTAGATCCAACAAAACGATTAGATAAAGTATGTGATTATAAAAAATCTTTTTTGTTTGTTTGTAGAAGGAATCTTATTTAGTGTTATCGAATGTTAAGTAAACCTCGTGGTTATTGTTTATTAATTAATAATGTTGATGCTTTTAAAACTATGGAAATTCGACAAGGATCAGATGTTGATGCAAGTAAATTAAAAAGTTTATTCGAACAAATTGGTTTTATTGTTTTACTTCGACGTAATCTTATTTATACAGTATGTTGAAATCTATCTTTTTGTTTTTCTTCTCATCTTAAATTAATTATTCAAAAAATTTAGGAAATGATTAATGTTATAGAAAATTTTGCTAATTTAATTGAAGAAAAAAAAGATTCATGTGATTGTGCTGTTATAATTATCTTAAGTCATGGTGGAAATGGAACAATTTATGCTGTTGATGAACTTGCATTAAATGTAAATTATAATAGATTTGAAAATTCTCTGTCATTCTGTTGAATTTTCTTCTAGGTTGATGAGCATATTATATCTGTATTTGATGATCATTTAATAGGAAAACCAAAATTATTTATTATACAAGCATGTCGTGGATGTAAATAAGAATTTCTATTTATAAATAAATATTTTCTTTCATTATTTTAGCACAATGTAATAATCGTTCGATAGCATCAATATCTAATACTCGATGGTCATCAGATAGTATAACAAATGAAAATTCTCGAACAAATGTTGATAGTGGTGGTTATAAAACAACTATGGTTCCTATACGTAGTGATATGGCAATTTGGTATTCAACTGTCAAAGGTTTTTAATTGATAGATTTATATAATAACAACAAAATTATATTTAGATTATGTTTCATGGCGTTCACCTGATGATGGTAGTATATTTATTCAAACATTAATTACAGTCTTTGCTCGAACAGCATGGTATTATGATCTAGCAAGAATGGTTACTTGTGTAAGAAAATTGTTTAATTCATATGTCGAGTAATCATGTAGAGCAGTTAATAAGTTTTCGACAAATAGAATTCGGAATATTGCCCTAGGGGGGTACGGCATTTTTCGTAAACGGTTAAACCACCGAATCATAATTGCTACTAGTATTTCTATACCTTTCTGCTAGAGCCCGTCAGGTGCACAATTTTTGGACCCGAACCCAACCGTAAATTTTTCTACTTAAAATCTGATAGTTGCTTCGAAAATAGTTTTGTTGTTGTTTTTCTAAATAAATTCAAGACTTTTTGAATGAAATATTATGTTGATAACATATATCTTCCGATCCGGACCCCACGGGCTCTAATTTTTGCACACTTACCTATATCTTAAAGAATGAAAATGAAATTTTTGATTATAGGTGAATCGAACAATGGATGAAAAATTTCGAGCTCATGAATCCACACCATTTCAAACCCCATGTTTCGAATGTCATCTTCGTAATGTAAGTTTGAAAAAAATTACATTTTTGTTTTTTTTTCGAAATATTAAATTTTCTAGGATTTATACTTCAATCCAGGTTGTTGCAATGAAAACAGATAAAAATCGTATACATTTATCTTTTGTCTTAAAAATATATAATTCTTTTTTTTTGTATAAAAAAATTCATGTCAATAAATTACAGAATAATGATGTCTACTTTTAATTTACAAGAGAAAAATAAAATCCTTTAAGTAGATCTAAATAAGGTTCATT